AATGAGGCCAGAACCAATTTTAGGAATTTTCCTGAAAAACAAACTCGACTTATGTAAGTGTCTTCACTATGTTTAGTGACACTTGGAATCGAAAACGAAATCATTTAAAAACCTTGCATGCGAACAAAAAAGAATATTTTGCTTCATAATTTTTAGCACAAATCGAAATTGCTTCATAATGTTTATGCAAATCGAAATTGTCGGTTAAACTACGGCGACGTATCGGCTTGTCAGATGACACACAAACTACCATAGCTTTACGATTCACAAAAGAACACAGGGCAGCGAAAATTTCATAAGAGTTCGGTTGCCCATCTTTGAGTTTTTGCTGCGTCTCATCATTTTTATCTGTTTTGAAAAACACGAATTTAGAAAACTTCCAATTTCTGAATTTCATTTGTCGTATTACTTCCATTTTGTACAACAGGGATCCATACATGCTAGTTCCAAATGGTACAAGCAGAAAAGAATCATCGACGCGGTTATACATAGTACGGCAAGTGGCTCGCAATACAAGAACATCTCGGATAGCGCACCTGAGATATTCAGATATGGTTTTAGTTTGATATCCAGAGTTGTCGACCAGCAATTGAAAAATGACTCCGCTCACGTTAAAAGGTAGGCTAAGAAGATTTGGCTCGGGAAAATGCATCTTAAAAAAATCTGCAAAACATCAGTAAAACAAGCTAATCTGAAATATAGAACATAAGCATTAGAAATTTGATAGCTGGAAAAGTGCCAATAAACGCAAGAAACCGAAAAAAATGGCTGAATTGTTTTTTTAAGAAAAATTCAACTATCAAATTTCACGGATTTAAATCTATGGCCTTACAGCTTTTTATCTTCTAGATCTTTTTCGGATTAACCACTTTTCAATAGTATTAACCCAATTTAAAAACTGAGATTAATAGCTGGGAACTTCAAATTGATTTTTGAAGTTTGAAAGTTTTTTTGGTCATTTGCTCTTCCATAATTTGCATTTTTTTAGCAACTGAATTTGAACAGCACTGAAGAAGAAATTAAAATTCAAACCACAAAAATCAAATGAGGCCAGAACCAATTTTAGGAATTTTCCTGAAAAAAAAACTCGACTTATGTAAGTGTCTTCACTATGTTTAGTGACACTTGGAATCGAAAACGAAATCATTTAAAAACCTTGCAAGCGAACAAAAAAGAATATTTTGCTTCATAATTTTTAGCACAAAAATGAACTCATCAGTGAAGCTTCAGCACTCGTTCCAACACATTCCTTCAAAATTTTCATGTTCTCGAGAAAAAAACTCGATTAGTTGTTTCAAACAAATTATTATAATGCAGTAAATAATGGGCCGAGTCCTTTTGTTCTTGCTGTTCATTATTTTAAGTTCATCTTTTCCCAAACTCAAGAAATAAAGCAGGATATTTTGAAAACAAAATCAAAAAAGTTAAGTTTAAAAACGGGACTGAAAAAGAATAAACCGGAACTCGTCAAAAAATATCATCAACTTAAGCATGTACTAGAAGCAATTAAGATGATAGAATGTCATCACAGAAAATGATTTTAACGAGCAGTTCTAAATTTTCAAAATTTTACACATCCACACTCAATTGTTGAAACGAGATTTGATGAATCAAAGCTACGGCCGATCTCGCATGTATGTATGCATGCATGTATGTATGTATGTATGTATGTATGTATGTATGTATCTATTCATGTATGTATTCATGCATGCATGCATGTATGTATTCATGCATGCATGCATGTATGTATGTATGTATATATGTATGTAGGTAATTATGTAGGTATTCTTATTGATATGACAAAATGGGAGATTGCTCCATCTGCGTTCAGTGACAAATGCTACAAAGTTCAGTCTATAAGCAACATAGTAAAATATTTAGGTCCGATTGCAATTGTTATAATGTTCCAAGTATGATTTATAATCCTCGACTTGGTATTTTTGCAATGAAAAACTGTTTTTCTCGGCTAACTTCAGTCGCGCTCGTAAATAATCGGGAACAGTTCTTGTATACTTCAAATGGAACCGTTGCTGTTTTGAACTCAAGACTAGGAACTTGAACTTCTTCCTGTCACACTCGAAATTACTATACAAAATTACTACATTACTACTAAGAAAATGATTTGAACGAACAATTCTAAATTTTCTACATTTTACATATCCACACTCAATTAACGAGAATAGACGAATGTATGTTTGTAGTTATGTATCTTCATTGAAGGCAGATTAAGCAATTTCCCTTTTAGTCAAACCAACATTAAAACCTACAAATATATCTACATATATACAAGCTTTTTTCTAATTATCAGCTATTATAAATGGGAATTCAAAAAATGGGAACTTGATGTTGACTTTTCAAATATTGTTGATTTTTCAAATCTTTGAGTGTGGCAGGAAGAAGTTGAAATTTAGATCCATCTGAACTATTCAAGAATAATTTCCGGCTACGATTATATAAGAGCGCGACTTCAGTTAGCAAATTCAGTTAGCAATTATTGTTGATTTTTTCAAAAATCAACAGTATTTGAAAAATCAACATCAAGTTCCCATTTTTTGAATTCCCATTTATAATCGCTGATAATTAGAAAAAATCTTCAAAAATAACAAATATGACAGAAGAAAGTAGCAACAAATCAAAGACTAAGAGTAATATTTGGAGACATCTAAACAGCGTAAACAGTTCCGGTTTATGTATTCAATAGTTTTAATATGACCCTTGCTTAGGCTGTATGTATGTATGAATTTCGTGTGTATGTATCTATGTATGTGTGTATGCTCCACATACCCACACTCATTTAACGAGAATAGACGAATCATAGCTTCAGCCGATCACATATGTATATATTTTTAATGTATGCATGTATGCATGTATGTATGTATGCATGTATTTATGCATGTATCTATGTATGTATGTATGTATGTATAAATGTATGTATGTATGTATGTATGTATGTATGTATGAATGTATGCATGTAATATATGTATATATGCGTATGTATGTATGTGTACATGTTCCATTACAGAAATAATAACCAAAAAAAACATACCATATAAACTTCAACTGGATTTCGAACTCAAGTGTCATTGTGGTTCCCAAGTATCATGATTTCTAATGCCTGGAAAAATTGTGGGTCTAATACATTTGGTTTCGCAAAGTAAATCATGGGTGACGAAAAGCGTAGGAAAACACTTTCAATTCATTCATACTGTTCGCTGATTATGTTAAGGAGCTAAGTACGGCACAAACCAAAATTCATTTATTCCCTTGCATACAAGAGTTCAAAATCAGACGAATTTGTCTTAAGCATTGTGCATTTAGAAGAGAGAATAACCAAAGATGCCTCAATGAAATCCGATAAACTTCCATTATTTATGGCATTCTAATCCATAATTTATGGCATTCTAATGTTCAGAGGTACGCTTACCCAATGCGAACTGAATCTCACACTTCTCAAATTGGCCATCAGGAAATTTGACCATCGCCCAGCCATGACTGTAAAAAAGTTCAATGACCATTCCAGACAGCGAGCATGCTCACTGAAAAGTTTCAAAAAACGAAGCAGTTTTTCCGTACTCGTTCGAATATCCGTAATGCAAAACAGAAGTGACAGTTGAATTCAGCCGAGGTTCACAGAGGTTGTTGAATTTCGCTGAGGTTTGTACCATAAAACGCGAGCAATCATGGCTCCGTTACTCCCAAAGACGCCAAAGTACAAAAAACGCGCCAAAATTTAGAAGGGCTGATAAACTCATCTATTTGGTCATGATGACGGTCTTCATCCAGAACCTCATTGATAAAACAAACAAATTTGGAAAATATCCTATTTTCGTCCTTCTAATAATTTCGCGTTTATATGAAAGTGGTCCATAACAACTAGTTCCGAACGATACGTGTAGAAAAGCAGTATTCACACTTACATAAAAATCACGCCAAAATCTTTTAATGAAAAGATATCATGTACCAAAGCTGAGATATTTTGATACGCTTTCAGATTGATATCCAGAGCAAACGACCAGCATTTGCAGAATAAAGCCGAGAACTTTCAAATTAAGACCCAGCAAGTTGGCTTCTTTCAAGAGTACCACTTTAAAAAATCAATACAATACAGCAAACACAAACTAATCTGACACAAACACAAGCAAACAAACATTTCAGAATCAAAACTTGATTCAAACGATAATTACTCTAGCATTAACGAAAAACCCTCTACTGAATTAGTTTATCGACTAAAATACTGCATTCAGTTTTCTGGATTTTTGATCATAATTGGCTACAAATTTTTTTACACAGAGGGGCAAAAAAATAAGAGCTGATATTCTCTGAAAGTTTACAGCCCCGCTTTGTAGTCGCCAAAGCGATATAACATATACCATTAAAGGATATAACATCACAGCTGGCAAATTTGCAAATTACAGGATTATAACAAAGTGAATTTCAATTATAATAAAAATTGCCGAATTCAGAAGAGAAGTCCGGACTAAGGAAAGAATAAAAATAAGCAAACAAGAATAATAGTCCAAAAATTAAACTATCAATTTTTTATATTTGAAAAAAAAAACGTTTCCCGTAATTGAACCCAGAGTCTTTGTCGTCCGAAGCATGGACGTTACCTCTAGGTTCTCTGTGCAAAAACTGTCATTGGTTTTTGATTTGTCATGGCACCTAACATCTCCCGTGCAAATTCTGTCAGCAAAGTTGTTACTAGTACCCGATTACAATTTAAGAATCATGCTTTCGGTCGATTGCATTACCGTTTTAAGCTAAGTATATTTCAGAGTGCCCCTAGAACAAAAATTGTAAGCATTTTGTTTTCCGAACTCAACCACCATGATAGCATCAGTTGTCAACCAAACTGCCTGTTTTGGCTATATTAGAACTTAAAAATTATTTCAATCATTAAAACTTAAATAATCCTCTTTTACGGCTACTGCTTCCCTTTCACTCAGCTAGAACATTCAAGTTTTTGTTAAAATGTTAATTTTCACAAAAAAAATGCGAACTGAAAACAAAACTAACAATTTCATCCGTTCAAACAACACTGCGAAAACTTTCGGCTACAAAATTCAAAGATTATGATCGGATTAACGAATTGAAATATTCTACTCAAAAAGACCAAAATTTCAAAAAAAAGCACTACAAATGACTATTAGTTTATCGAATATCAAGCAAACCGGTTAGTACAGTAACAACATCTAGCGCCAAATAAATGCTTTTCCTGACGAAGTAGTACCAGCAACAATATCAAACATTGGATGCATATCATTCCTGCAACAGATACTATCATTCCCGACCATTTCCAGAGCTGGACTCGAACCTGTGCTCCCTGTTGTTGTAAACACCTCTAGTTTTCGAGCATAGTCCATACTTCCGATGAGGAAAACGTCTTCGTTTCTCGGGTGCCAAATTGCCTGAAAAGGTGCCAACCACCTTCCAGTATGGTTGTCGTGTTTCACAGTGCGTATAGTTTTAATTGAATCAGTCGATAGAACAGAAGAATCAAATACACGTAGATAATCATCAGAGCAAGTTGTCAAAATTTTATCTCCAGTTACCGGGCTGAAAAACGCACCATTCGCGACCTTTCCATGGTACAAATCGTCCACAAATTTTTGCTTAGTATTTCTCATATCCCAAATTTTGACCGTGTTGTAATCAGAAGCCAATATATAAGGTTTGGTCGGATGCGCAGACACGCATTTAACAGGTTTCATTCCGTTGACAAAAGCAGTTGCAGGAGTTTCACTAGCTCTAGCATCAACCACAACCACGTGACCTAATTCCTCACCCACAACAACCGAATTCCCGTCAAAAAAGAAATCGAACCAATGCATCCCGTTTCCAAACCTGCTGTACTTATTTCCATTGGGAGGATAGTTCACGTTTTCTTCCCTGCAAACTGTCGTGAACTCACAGTTGTTCAAATCGACACATTTCAAAGTTCCGTCGTAGCTGCATGTGAACAATTTCGACCAATCAGAGTGAGAGAACTTCAGACATCTAATTGGCATCTGATGAGGTTGACGAAGATAACATCCTGATGATTTTCCACCTATTTCGTCGGCGTCGATATCCCAAAAGCCTAAATTACCATATTTATCCCCAGTTGCGAGAAACAATTTGTTCCCGGGATGAAATTTAGCATCGTAGATTCTCCCTTGGCAACATTTAGCCACGTCTGTTTCTCTAATCTTCAATTTTGACATCTTCAGTAAAGTTTCCTCTACGTTCAAACATTTCGGCTTTTCGCAGATTTTTCCATTTGCAGTTTCGCTCAAACATTTCTTCAATTGCTCGTGGTTCGTTTCGTCGCCTAAGGTTCCCAAATTTCCATAGTATACATGGGGCTCAATTTTTGGAACTTTCGGTTCGTAGTAAGAAGATACAATCTTGGCCAGGTCTGATTCAATGTAAACAGGATTGACCTTTATGTTTTGCAATCTCTCAGATTTCCTTCTTGGTTCATCAGAATATTCGATCTTCATTTTCGGCTTTGAGGGGACTGACTTTCGAATTTGGACTTTTGGTTTTTGCGGAGGTCCAAGAACCGATGATCGAGCATTGAGATCAATTTCTTGTAAAAATTTTTCGTTTTCAGCAATATTTTTTAGCCTCATTTGCTCGAAAAGAGAAAGTTTGGATCCTGGTTCAAAGTTTTCGTTTTTGCTTTCAAATTTAACTTCAGTTGGTTGCGCAGGTAGGCTTTCATGTTTGCAGTCTTCAAAATTGGGCGAAAATTCATTTTTATTCTCTTCTTTTACTTCTATGTGCTTGGCTTTTTTGCTAGACTCATTCGTCTGAGAAAAACTGTTTGTTCCGCGTGATTTTCTAACGCGCAAAGATTTTCTAACTTGGCTCTGTTCCATTGTATCTTAAAAACAAATCACAAAATTAAACTACAAGCGCACTAGACATCTTGCTTACAAAACACCGATTGTCAAAATTTTTGCCACGTGGTTTTCATTCAAAGGCTCTGTGACATTGTCAATTACTATAATTTTCATGTTACTCCAAATATTGCTTAGAACTTACTTCACCAAACTATCGCACGGAAAAAACGGCTAGCCGTTTGCTGCTCAAGTAGCACAGAATGCTTCAATCACACTGTCTCAAGACAAAAAATCTAAATCAATTAAAAACTATTTTCTGCATATAATTTTTAAAGGGCGACCGAGTTAAATGAAAACAAGCAAGAATGAGAGGTAATAATCACTTGAATAATGTTCAAATGCAGTAATAAAATACCGCTAAAAGTTTAGTACGGAAGTCAGACTCTCAATTTTGTATTATTTTGTCAGAGAAACGATACTAATTCTTACCAATTTTTCTCGACCGGTACAACTTTTTCTTATTTTCCCTCGGAAATCTAAAAATTAAATTTCACGTTCGAAAATTAAATCGATCACGTTTTCGTGACCTTAACACTTTTGCTGCTCGATAATGGAGTTTGCCTTCCTTTTAACAATGGAAATGAAGTGAACTTAAAAAGAAATCATATGTCAGAACGCGAAAAATCAAAACGCTCAGACTTTTTTTAAGACGAATAAATTTAAAAAATTTTCTAGAACAAAAAAAAACAAGCAAAAAAAAAATCAGCAAGACTACGTTCATTACTCTTAAAAAAATCATCCACTGTAATCTAAATTGACACCGAAAAAACGAAAATCTACGGCTAAGAAAAAAATTTCATTAAAAAGTTTTTAGCGTGCAGATCAAAATAAGAAACATGTATCGCCTATATAGCACCATAAGTTCGCCTTAGTAAAATTACCTTTTCCAGTGACCGCCATTCTGTGCCCAAAGTTTTTGACGGGAAAAGGGTCTACAAAACTGTTGCATAATTTCTGCAAATCGTAAGGGTAATGAAGACAAAATAAAATTTAAAAGCGAAGATAAAAATGAGTAAATTGGCTAAACTGAATTTGACACGAGCAATTTAGGGAAACTTTTGGTGCTTAAACATCTTAACTATACAGAAGCAAATAACTTTATTGTAATTTACCATATCAAAAACTTACATAAGAATAGAAGCCAGATTTGATTTGGCAGAACTTTGTTGGCGAAAGCAGATAGATTTTGAAATTATTTACAATTTACAGATATAAATATTGCACAACTTTTCACATAACGTACAAGCAATTAAAAATACTACGCAAAGCTTCTGTTCGACTTTCAAATTACGCTATCTACAGCAAGATTTAGCAGTCATTGACTCTTGTCTTGTCAGTGTTCCCTTCAAATTAGCATCGGGCTTAAGTCGTATTTTTCCACTTCCAGGTCTCGATGAACTGTCTTCTTTTTCCTCTAGCTTAATGCAATTTCCTGATTTTTCATCTAAACTCCTACAAACTATGTCATCAAACAGCAACGCTGCAACTCTGTTAAAAAAAGCGTCGACATTTATATTGCACTTAGACGAAGTTAACCACAATTCAGCTCCAATTTCGAGACAGAAATCATTCACTTTTTGCTCAACTTCTTGAAGTTTCAAACTCGCTGTAGCTGAAATTTCATCCTCAACTCCCTTTATCAAATCAATTTTAGTTCCTACTACGAAGAACATTGGCTGAGTTCGTGTGTTATGTAATGCCAGCATAGTGGAAATTTCCGAGTGCCAGTTACGTAATGATTGAACGGCGTCGGAAGCAGTGACGTCAAATGTTAGAATGACTACTTGAGCGCCTCTATAGTACCCGTAAGTGAGAGCTTTGAACCTTTCTGACCCCGCAGTATCCCACAGTTGCAATCTGAATGGCACTGATAAAATAACGTAATCTGAAACAAAATATATCGTTTTTCTCTCGGTTTATTCAGACAAAAAAAATCTTGAATCCATATAAATATCCCGAAAGCTACCATTATTAGTATAAAAAAGCTCTCTGGTACCATTTCAGAGCCACAATTTTGGACTGATCAGTCCTAAAATTTATCTCAAAACACGTTTAGCAGCAAGAAATATAAACAAATTGAGTCAATGAACGCAAGGAAACAGGAAAAAACGAATTTTGAAAAAACTTCAACTTTCGAATTTCAAAATGAAAAATATATGACCCTAACCCTCTTTGAAATTCAATATGAATTTATATTAGACACTTTTTCTGCTAAAATTAACTGAATTTGAAAAACTGGATTGATAAAACTTTTATTTCGCTGGGAAATCTTGAAATTAAATTCCACTTTCGAAACTAGAATACGATCGTTTTTCGTGACATTTTTAATTTTGCTATTCGAAAGTGGATTTTGCCTTCCTTTTAACAAAGACAATGAACTGAACTTTAAAATAAATCAAAAGTCAGATCTGGAAAAAATTTTCGAGCCTGAACAAACTTTCAGACTTTTCCTGGAAAAAAAAAACAAAATCATCGACTCTGAAAAATTTGATCAACGGGCAAAGTTTTTATTCCGCTAGGAAATCTATAAATTAAATTACACTGTCGAAAATAGATGTTCGTTTATCGCGCCATTTCCATTTTCGTATTTGCATTTATACTTAAGTACATTTAAAAGTGCATGAATATAAATATATACACATCTGTAGTTATTAGAGCGTTTTAAGACTTTTACCAGAAAAAAAAACACTTAAAAAATCTAATGCCTATATAAGAACCTCCTTTACCTTCATCGACTGTTAATAAAAGAACCTCACAAAAGGGTTGATCAAAACAATTTTGGTCGCGAAAAACTTAGCCGAAAAAAATTTGTGTACAGAAGCTCGGAAAAAAATAACTTCAGCCCCCAAACCTTGTTTGAAAATCTACCCCACACAAAAATTATATATCCCTCCCTGGCAATTTACACTGACCTAACAGACAAAAGTCGACTCCGATTGTTGTTTTGTACAAATCTGTGAACTCATTTCTGAATATCCTGTAGAACAGACACGTTTTGCCAACAGCCGCATCTCCTAGCAGCACTATTTTCGCGGCCATCGTGCCACCGCTTGCTCTTTTTCCTCCAGCGTGAACACTCGGCTGTCCGAATCCATTTCTGGAACTTAAAACTGAATCGATAGTTTGTTGCGAGAAAGTTGCCGGAAACGGAGACGCTACTGCTGTTGCAAGACAAGTAGGCATTTGGTCCAAGATTGTAGGCTCCAGTTCTGGACGATCACCGGCCATGCCTTTGAGTTTGACGTCCAATACAAGACTGATTGATTATGAATAGCAAAGCGCATATGCCTCAATTCATTTGCAACTGAAAATATCAGAACCATTGCAAAAAAATCATAAAAGTGGTGTCTCTGATATCACAGTGCAGTAGCGTGCCGAGTGGTTGCCAAATTTTTCCAAAGGTCAAAGGTTCCCTCCTTTGTTATAATGTTACGACATCCAATTTTGATTGACCAACCTCAAAAAAAATATTGATAAAATAGGGTGCTTATAATATTTTCGGAGAGCTCAGAAAAGCAAATTGGACAGCCTAAAAAAAAACGGGTCGACAAAACCTGCCCACCCCAAAGAAAAATTTCTGCGCTTGCCACTGTCACACTAGAAATAGTTAATTGATAGACACTTATTCACTTCAGTCAGTTTAGGAACACAGAGTTTGATCAGCACTGATGTTCTCTTTTCACCTCATTCTAACTCATTCCTATGATCAAAAACTATAATTGTAAACAAAAATCAATATTCAAAAACAACTATCGTAATTAGCAACGTATTGACAAAAACTCATCTTAAATATTAAATCAGTATTTATGAATCAGGTTAAATTTGTCTCTTTTACTTCCTTGGCTAAATTAACTCAATAAACTTAAGAAAACGAACGAAGAAAACCACTAAAACTTTCAATCAACAGCTTTTTGTGGTGGTCTAACTTTTATTACAAATGATTGATTACATGATTTAAAACTAACAACACAACCAAAACCGCTGCCTTGAAATACAGCCTAATTAGGGTTTTCTTCATTACAGAAATAAACTACAACTTCAAAATATCCAACAGTTATTACGAGGAAAATGTAAGGAGTAAGCAGAACTTCAGCGTTGCACGAACAAGCACTGGATTTCTGTGATTTGCATTCAATGAAAAGTAGTCAGTAAACGTATCTCCTTAAATTATGAAGTTTCATTTTTTTCAGAAGACAATCAACAACAGACAAAAATAAACTCAACAGTTCATTATGATCCTAAACCAAAATTCCTACTCCTACTCCTCACTCAATACAAATAATAAAATTAATAACAATATGACACAACTATGATATTCTGTTTATTTCTGTTAATGGTCTAGTACTCAGAAAGGATACTTAAATGTTTTTTTTTTTGAAAATGTCAGAATTTCTATCTGAACTGATAGAAATGAGTTTAATCCCAAAGAAAACCGACTTTGAATATTTTGTTAGTATTTGGAAAAATGATCATCAAATTATTTATCAACAATGAAAGCAGCATAACACTGCATTATCTATTTTCAACGAATGGTTTGTTGTTTAATTATTCATGGGTATTTAGTTATTCGTGAACCAATTGAGGACCAAATCTGACTTCAACAAACTTCGAGACTCACTGTTTTCAAGGAAACAGTCCTCCGGGTAGTCTTCATATCGATAGATGTCCCTTATTGTCATTTATTTTCATTCCAAATTACACAGATCGCAGTCATACCGACATTCCTTCAATGAACAATCTCTTTACTTGATCGTTTCGATTACATTTAGAGCATCGAGCCTCTCTTGTCTCTGGCACGTTTTTCTGTAAAAGCGTGCCGCTTCAATTTTTGCATCAGCGGCTGCTAGATCGATTGGCATGACGGCCAATAAATTGAGTTTTGGATAGGCTCGTTGTACCCGTGTCACCCGTATTGCTGCTGTCGATCCTTGCGGCGTTTGTGGAAATAGAGTTGGCAGAAACTCGATTATGTGCACTCTTTGCAGAAAATGGGTACAAAGTAAAGGGCCAAGCAAAGACAAGACGTTGTCGGCACAAATTGCTTGAAGGATGCAGAAGGGAAACTGCAAACTAACATTGCTGCTCGTAAGAAAATATGGAAAGACCATATGCATGAAATCATGAATGTTGAACATCCTTACACTAGTAGTGACAAACCGGCTGTAGAAGGACCTTTTGAGAAAGTTACAGTGGCAGAGGTTAAGAGTGCCTTGCGAGCGTTAGCGAGCAAGAAGGCTCCAGGGCCAAGTGGTATCACTGCAGAGGTGCTCAAAGCTGCCGGTGACCCTTGCATTGATGTACTGACAACTATTTGCAACCAGATCTTATTTAAGGGTAAGATGCCCGATTACTGGAAACTGAGCTCTCTGATTCCACTGTACAAAGGTAAAGGTGACTCTCTCAGTACCAACTCATATCGTGGAATAAAGTTACTGGAACATTCTTTTAAACTCTTGGAGAACGTTTTTGAGTCAAGACTCCGTGATATGATTACAATTGACAGAACACAGTATGGCTTTATGCCAGGTCGCGGCGTTGTCGATGCAGTTTTTGTTGCCTGTCAAGTTTGCAGCAGAAAAGAAGCCCCTTTACTGGATTTTTATCGACCTGGAGAAGGCCTTTGACCATGTCCCGCGGCGCCTCATTATAGAAAGTTTGAGGCATAAACGCATACCAGAGCATTTCATAAACGCTATTATGGCAACATATGACGATTGTAGGACCTCAGTTATTGTGTACGGTGAACCGACAGATGCTTTTGATGTTACTGTTGGTGTGCATCAAGGTTCAATCCTCAGCCCCCTCCTGTTTATCACGGTTATGGATTATCTGACTGAAGAAGTGCGAGATGGCTCCATACTGGAAATGTTGTATGCGGATGACATAGCACTCGCAGCAGAGACACCCGAAGAAGTCATGAGGAAGTACAGAATGTGGAAGTCAGCATTGGAGTCCAAAGGCCTTCGGGTTAATGTGGGCAAAAGCAAGGGAATGGGAGACCTCCCTAGTGTCACCCGTATCGCTGATGTCGATCCTTGCGGCGTTTGTGGAACTAGAGTTGGCAGAAACTCGATTATGTGCACTCTTTGCAGAAAATGGGTACATGTACGCTGTACCGGTGTTAGAGGAAGTTTATCTCCACACGAAGTTTTCAGTGTTCTACATGCCAAACCCCAGCTGCAAGTGATCCTGCACCCCGTAACAGTTTCGACGAGTTAGAGAGTGTTAGTCAGTTTTGTTACTTGGAACACACGTTGCATGCTACTGGAGACTGTGAAATTGCTATAAACGAGCGTATCAAGAAGGCATGGTTTGCGTTTCATAATCATGGATTCGACCCCCTGCCGACCCAAAGGGTCCCCCCTTTGATACTTTTTCGGAAATCCATTTTTGGCCGACCGACCCTAAAATTTTTCTAAAGGCGCCTTCGGCGCCAATATATACTAACTTTGAGGGGGAGCGCGCGCCAAAAAAACGCGATTTTTTTTGTCAAAATTTTTCAAAAATTGCCAAAAAACGGCTTTTTTGACTGTTTTTTCAAAAATTTGCCTGCGGCGCAGAAAATTTAGCCAAAGTAGGGGCAAAACAGTGCTTTGGGAGAGCTCGAGAAATCAATTTGGTCGACCTAAAAAAAAAAAAAGGTCGTCAAAATTTTGGAAAATTTTTTGAAAATCCGCCCCCCCTCGAGAAAATCCTAGATCCGCCCCTGGTTTGGCCTAAAGTTGTATCGAGTTGCAAAACGTTGGAACATAGGAAATTAGTATAAGAGCAGAAGATTTATTTTGGAAAATTTTTGCATGCAAACGCTAACACAGTGCTGAATTATCCGGACTATATGAACAAAACTTGAAATATTTGTTGCGTTTTTCTCAAATTGAGTTGAGATTAGACAAAAACAAGAACCAAAATCGCTTACAATTTTACCAGAATTATTAAGGTGCAATTTATTTTGCGAATTGTGAAATCAAAATTATACCCCAAAATTGGGTCATTTCAGCTGTTTTAAGTTGATCAAGAACTAAGATAAAACTACCACGTGAACTGATGAAAAATTTATACCAAAAGGAGCCTCGTACACAGCCCAACAAAGAAGGGTAAAATCTGCGCTGTTTTAAATGTTTTAAGGAAAGATTTTTGATTTTAAACAGCAAAAATAACATTTTTTGGCTATCAAGCAAAAATACTTTCCTTTTTACAGCTTTTTGGAGATTTGAACCATCTAGGTCTTTGTTGTGCTGCGTAAGAGGATCCTTGTGCTATACCTGATTCATCGATAAATTTGGTAGTTTCAGCGTAATTTTTGATTAACTTATTACCCAAGGTAACTAATATGGGTTAACTAATAGGTAACTAATAAGGTAACTAATTATTAGCCATTTTTGGGGTGAAACTTTGGCCCAGAAATTCGCAAAAAAATTGCACCATATAAATTCTAGCAAATTTTTCAGCAACTTTGATCCTCATCATTTATGGTCTAATGTCAATCCAATTTGAGAAAAAAAACGCGTTTGAAAATTCAAATTTTGCTCAATTTGTTCTGATAGTTCAAATCAGCACTGTATCGACAATATCGATTGAAAATCAAAATTGCCTACAAAATCTATCAAAAGATGGCAGATTGCTGTTTAATTAATTTTATGTTCCAATGTTTTGCTAATTATATGGCAAAATGTTCCAAAATAATTTTCAGAATTGTTCATTTTCCGATGAAATATGACTTCCCTCTTGCGTTATGAAGCGGTGTGGGGTGGGGTTTAGATATACACCACTCATACCACACTTTGTGTTTATCCTCTCTTCTCCAGAAGTGAATACTAATCTGTTCACCTTTGTTCACACTCACTTGCTGTTTGAGTGGGAACAGAATGGGGAACCAGCTGAACAGACCATCCGAGTGAGTGTCGGGGTTGATGCTGAAGGAGACTTCTTTGTACAGCACGGTGTCGAAGTAACCTGAAAAGCGTCACCGGTAACTGTGCAAGTAGCATAGAAGTTTTCGAAGGTCTTTTCTGTTATAAGGCTCAGAATCATCAAAAGAATATTCAAACTCCTATTCTCAACAGCCAATCTATCAAATTATGTGAAAAAACGAGGATTATGATCTAATTGACGAATAAAAAAAATCCATGTCAGGCAGTTTAACAAAAAGATACTCGGTTCCGACTATATTTTTTTTCGCTGGGAAATTTAAAAATTAAAATCCACTTTCGATCCTGAAAATAATCCACGATTTATTGCTTCAACTAATCTTTCGTAATTGGAGAGCGTAATGCGACTTGCTTTAAGCAAAACATTGCAAACAGACAGTTGGAAAAGAGTCAATAAACGCAACGAAACTGAAAAAACAATAGATTTGCATTGAAAAGGGCTTCAACTTCCGAATTTCAAAGTAATAAATAGGTGGCCCAAAAACTCCTTGAATATACATTTTTGCTGTTCGATGTTCGATAGCGGACTTACTTTTTCTTTAAACAAAGGAAAAAAACTGAACTTAAAAAGACATCATAAGTCCAACCACTATAAATCAAATTCGAAAATGGGTACATGTACGCTGTACCGGTGTTAGAGGAAGTTTATCTCCACACGAAGTTTTCAGTGTTCTACATGCCAAACCCCAGCTGCAAGTGATCCTGCACCCCGTAACAGTTTCGACGAGTTAGAGAGTGTTAGTCAGTTTTGTTACTTGGAACACACGTTGCATGCTACTGGAGACTGTGAAATTGCTATAAACGAGCGTATCAAGAAGGCATGGTTTGCGTTTCATAATCATGGTGGCGTTTTACTCGGGAAACGGGTATTGTTCATGACACTCAAATTACAACACAAACGCAGGTTACTTGGAAGAAGGAAAGGCGCATGGCCAGAATGATGTGTGGAGTAACCTTATTAGATCGCATTCCATCGTACTCGATTTTGAGCCGACTTGGTATTCAGAAGACCGTTATTGACTGTGTTGAAAAATCTAAATTGCGATGGTTTGGGCATGTCGTGCGTAGAGAAGATAGTAGTCCAATCCAAGAAGCGTATTTCCTTGAGGTCCCTGGAAAAAGACCCAAGGAAAGACCAAGAAAGACATGAGTAGAGGACGTGAAGGAGGAAATGAGAAGACGATGACTGACGGAAGCCGACGCACACAACCGCAAACTCTGGCGCTCGAAGATTCAGGAGCGCCGCGCCGACCCCGTTTGGGCGGGATAAGGCGGCAATGATGATGATCGTTGTGCCTTTTTTGTCAGACTTACCTGGACTTACCATAGTTTTCTGGTGCAGCCTTCAGATCGAAAAGCAGGCTGTTCAAGTTGCAGCACATGCACCTCCTGCAAATGTGGGCTACAAAAAAGATCTCGCAATGCTTCTGGACTGGCTGTAACATCTTGTCAATGATGGAAACGTCTGATAGAACCTTGAAGCATCATTTCTCAAATGCAATTGCAGAAAATTCGCCCGTTCAGTCACTGCTACTCACATATATCCTTGGAAGAGCTGTTCGAATTGTGCGATAGCATTTTCTCGGTCTTCCCAAATGGCTCCACCGAAGATTTTGCGTGGGCCATCTCAGAGCATATGTATGATTGTCAATAATAGTTCAGTTGCTGATTCCAATTAACAAAGCACCAATTTAAAAAGAAAATATCAATGACCAATAGGTAAATGTGTTAGAACTTGAGATTCTCTTCTGAGTGATTCTATAGTCTTCATTTTTGTAACATCTCAAAAACAGTCATTCGATTTTTAATTAATTTTGAACGAAGCCAACTGATGTGATTCTAGTTTATTTTGCACTTACTGCAAATATTGCTTTAACCTAGTCAGTTAACAGGTCACTTACATATGACCTTCACTTGCCATTCTCTCCGGCGCAGAGAATGTTCTCTTCACTTTTTAATGTTTTAACTTTAGACTAATTCACTTTTATTCTTTAAATTGTATAAAGTAGATTTAGCTACAACAAAGTAACATTTTATCATGGCGCAGTCAAATAACGAATCTAACGTGAGAGGAATACCTCCATTTTGGCAAAACCACACCGTAGATCCCCCAATTCCCTGGGAAGGCTGGAGCGATCTTTTTCACTAAGCTATCATCGCTAAAAAACATAGATATTGAAAAACTATTAAATCCTTCGGAAAGACATCATCCTCAACCTCCAAATTTGGAAAATCCGTTGGATGGCGAGACGAAAAACTAAAGAAAGTCGAGAATCGACAGAAATGTTCAAGACCAGAGACGTTATGACGAGGAGGAAAAGGCTTCCATTAAAACAGAAACCAAGAAATTTAATGGAATGCGATTAGAGGAAGCAGATAAAAAAAAACACGATCAGTCTTGTACCTGGCTCTAGAAAACGAAGGAAAAAGAATTTTTGGTCAAAAATTCACAAAGGTGAAAATCATGCAAATTTCATTTAAAGAGTTTTGGGAGTACCTAGCAACCGCTTTTGTCAGAAAGACAAATGTCATATTCGAACGGCACAAATTGTTAAATCGAAATTAACGGGACAGAGAGTGACTCTAACAATTTTGGGGAGCCCTAGCAGAAATGGCTAAAAAGTGTGACATAGCCGCGGGATAAGAAGAATGGATTAGAGATTTTCATAAACAACATGAAAAACTACGACATACAACAGAAACTCTTAACTGAAACCCTTCCTCCGCGAGAAGCTCTGAACGTAGCACTCACTGACGAAAAGGGAATTTAAAACCACCTCAAACTTACAATTAATTTTAAATCCAACGGATCATCTGTACATAAACCGCACAGCCATTTTACTGTAAAAAGAGAACCACATCTCAATTTAGAAAAGAACAACACCTGTATGAAGTGCGGCGGAACTTTTTCAAAAGGTCAACCAGCAGTTTGTCCGGCGAAGTATACTACTTGTACATCCTGTAAATACAAAGGCCATTTTACCAGACTTTGTAAATCTTGTCGTAGAAATGTAAACATTGTAAATAATCAAAATGTAGATAAATACAGATTTTAATCTGTCGGATCTCCCGGATGTAAATACAGACCATGTAAATAGAGAATGTTGTGGCATCATAAACGCATGGTCGGAATCTGGAAAAAGTGAAAACGACGATTACTCTGTATTAAATGTCACTACAATTTTCGACAACGACGGAAAAGAACTGAAAAAATTATTAAAGATTGGCCTCGGGAAAGAAAATCAAGTAAATTTAAATATACAAGTGGACTCTGCTAGCCCGGTTAGCTTT